GCCCTGCGGCCCCTTGCGCAGCCTATCGACAGCGTCCCTCAAAAAAGCCACGCCCAGGAGTGGGCTGCTCCCTTGACCCGTCTACCCGCCGCGCCCTCGCCCGGCCGCCTCACCGACCACGGAGGCTGCTCGCCGCCGCCGCCGCGCGTGCCGCGCCGACACCCATGCCCCTTCTCCTGAGGCGCGCGCTGTGCAACCGCGCACACCGCGCGTGCCTCGGAGGGGCGGAGCAGCGACCGCTGGCGCGGCCGCTGCTCCGTCTGTGCCAGGGACGCGCGCTCTGCGCCGCTGCAGAGCGCGCGCGTCAGGGCAAGGGGCATGCGTGGCGGCGCGGGACGCGCGGCGGCGGCGGCGAGCAGCCTCCGTGGGCGGTGAGGCGGCCGGGCGAGGGCGCGGCGGGTGACGGGTCAAGGGAGCAGCCCACACCCGGCGTCGCTTTTTGAGCGACGCTGTGGTACGCTGCGCAGGGGCCGCAGGGCGGTCAGTTGTGGGGCGAGGCGGTGCCGGCCGCGGGCCGGGTGCAAGGCGCCGGCCTCGGCGCCGCCTCGGCGCGCCGCACGGGCCGCGGCGGGTGACGGGTCAAGGGAGCAGCCCACACCCGGCGTCGCTTTTTGAGCGACGCTGTGGTACGCCTGCGCAGGGGCCGCAGGGCGGTCAGTTGTGGGGCGAGGCGGTGCCGGCCGCGGGCCGGGTGCAAGGCGCCGGCCTCGGCGCCGCCTCGGCGCGCCGCACGGGCGCGGCGAGCCTCTGAGCGGGAGCCGAAGGTTTGCCTGTGGGAGGGAGGGAGGGAGGGAGGGAGGGAGGGTGGTGGGGGTGATTTGACTTTGCCGCAGAGGCCGTCCCTATAGCTGTGAACAGCAAAACGGGACGGTATTACGGTTGGTGAAGTGGAAGAAAAACGCTGCCCGCCGGACCTGGCGGCGTGCCGTCCTCCCTCCCCTCCCTGGGGTGGTTATCTGTTTTCAATCACCGCCGCCCTGCGGGCCCGGGGAGACCTCGCCCCTCGCGGCTGGGCGTCGGCGTCTTCCGCGCTCGGAGTTTCAGTTTGTGTATTGCACTCAGGTTATGATGCAGAACACAAGCATGCTTAAAAAGCTGCGGCGGATGAGGCGTCACAACCCTCAACCGCTCTTCAGCCTGGCTCGCCTACTGCTGCTGCTGGGATGACCCAGTCCCGCGGGACCCCGAGCGGCGCGAGCTTCCGCAAGTACTGCTCGATCGCCCACGCGCGCTGCTCGGCGTTGACGGACTCTCTGTACGTGCCGAGCTCGCCCCTCCGGAAGAAGGGTCCCCGGAGCGCCCCGACCGCGGTGAGGACGATCTCGCCGACGTCGCCACCATAGAACTGCTTCATGCGCCTGAACGAGCTCAGCTCGACGATCTGGGCCACGAAAGCGTCGGTCAGCTCCACCCCCATATGCGCGGCGATCCGCCTGATCACGGCGGCCGGGTCTGCGAGCAGGTCCTCGTAGCGGACAAACAAGACGTTTGGCCGATCCTTCACTGCCCACCACGACGCGACGTGGTCAAAGTAGTCGCCGTTGTCGACGTTTCCCGCCTTGAGCATCTCGAAAAACGCGTCGAAGCTGACGTCGGCCATGTCGAGGTAGACGAAGTGGAAGCGGCGACTATGGTGGTAGAAGCTGGTGGCCACATCCAGCACGTTCCGCATCACGTAGATGACGCGCTTGCCCGCGTCCGCCATGTGGTCCGCGTAGTGCCAGTGCGACTTCAAGCACCGCCAACCGCCAACCGGCCCTTCCCAGCGCTTGAAGTCGTTGATCTCTTCGATGGAGTACCGGAGCGGCGGCAGCCCGAGGCTGACCTCTGGCCAGGGGCAGTACGTGAAGGGGTACTGGCCGCGCTCCAGCGGCGGGAAGCCGTTGATGTGGTTGACGATGGTCTGGGTCCAGGTGGTGCCGGTCTTGGGGTACGTGGCGACCCAGATGTCCTTGCTAGAGGGCTTGAACGTGCCGTTCTGCAGCTGGTCGATTCGATCGGACGTGATGAATGGCGTTGCCGGCACGCCCGAGACCTTGTTCAACTGCGGCCGGCCGGGCCACCGCTCTTGTTCGGGCCCGGGGTGCGTGGACCAGGCGAGGAGGCTCACCAGTGCAGGCGGCACCGCGATAGCGACTATCATCACTGGCAACGCGAATTTGGCTGCGAGGAGCATGTCGGGTGGTGGCAGTGGTGGTGGCCTGCTCAGGCAGCTATGGTCCGACACATCTAAAGTGGAAGGGTGGGGTAGGGGGGAAGTAGTCTTGAGGGAAACATTGGACCGTCAGGCCCCGGGGACTGGCCAGCCCGACTAACACAACCTTCAGGAACACCATTTTGCGG